CACCGCTCCCGGCCTTTCTGTGTTTTTAATTCTTCTTTTTATTTCTTTCAGTGATGTTTTATGGTTTTCAGTGTGCAAGTTTCATACTTCCTAAGGCTGGTTTCGAACTCGTGAGCTCAAACAATCCGCCCGCCTCGGCCTCCCAGAGAGCTAGGATTACAGGCGTGAGCCACCGCTCCCGGCCTTTCTTGCAATTTTTGGTTTAAGAAATGGAATGTTTATCCTTTAGGCTTCCTGGAGTATGGATTTTGCCAATTATATGTCCATGATTTTATTTAACTTATTTTTCTGTCCCTTGAATTTTCCATAAATTAGTAGTTAGATCTAGAGACTTAATTTGTATTTAGTTTTGATTTTTTTTTTGATGGACTACTTCATAGATGGTATTTGTGTACTTTCTTCAGGAGGTAATGAACATCTAGTTGTTTCTCTTTTTGTGATATTATTAGCTTTTGATAATCATTTCTTAGATCCATTAATTCATTAAGAGTTGCAAAGTGGTGATATTCTAATTTTTTTATTCCTTGTTTATTAGCTGGAATACATCTGTAAAGAGAAACTTCCTCATATCAACTATTTGGTTGCCCTTAAATTAAGTATAGATCATATAGGATTGGCAGGATAAATATTTGATGATTTCCCCCCTTTATTTCCCAGTTTCCAAAATAATGAGGTGGTTCTTAGCATCCTTCACAGGTGACCAGTAAACAATTTTTTTTGTTTGTTTTTGGTTTGAACATCATTTTGAACTTTTGGATTTAAACATACATCATGGTTTTTACCTCATTCACAGTCATCATTCTTTTTGATGTAAAAATTGTCAGAAGGGAAAATTTAAATACCTTTGATCAATAAGGTTAGCTCCTAAATCCTTTTGATAAGACCTCATTATAGTCTCTGATAATTTCCTTGCTTTCTGATAAGGTAAGGTTTTCTAGGCTCATTTTGGGCAGTTTCTGCTCCAGTCTTGAAATCAATCATTTTTATAAGAAGCCCTAATTCCATTTAGTAGGAAATGGTGCTTAGGGATCACAATCTAAGGTAGAAATACTATTTCCACTTGGTCTACCATTGTCTCTAGACGTTTTTAGTTGGTCAGGGCTAGGAAATATGTATTTTTCTTATAGATAAAATACATCATGAATTCATGTCAGTATTTCCAATTCAGAGCCACAGGGTTTTTACTGAAGCTCAATAATCTTCTATCTGTGTTTTCTCTTAATCATGCTAAAAATTTCTGTTCTCACCAAATGATTACTCATTTGACTTACACTACAATATCCATAGAAGTGCCTCAGAATACAAACCAACACTACCACCAATGTGATTTCTGAAAAATACTTAATATTTTTTGTTTTCGTAGCTCTTTTACTCCTTAGGGTGTATCTTACTAGTGTAATGATGTATAGGCAGATTATCCTGTCTTTTAAAATCATATGGTTTAGTTCTTTTCTATGTGGGTAAAAGTATTTTTATAAAGCATATTTAAAGGGAAATTAGGATGCTTAAATTGCATTTTTATATTTTCACATTTTGAATTTTTCAGTTTCACCAGGTTGCAAAATTGGACTAGCTGATATAATTTTACAGGTCATAAAGTAAATGTATGATTTGTTTTGTTTGCTAGGCGCTAACGTGCATGCTACAACAGCAACAGGAGACACAGCCTTAACCTATGCTTGTGAAAATGGACATACGGATGTTGCAGATGTTTTACTTCAAGCAGGGGCTGATTTAGTAAGATATTTTTAATTTCAAATATTTTCTCCTGAATGTTAATATTCATTCATACTTAATGTTTAGAAAACACTAGTAAAGATCATTAATTTGCATACTTTGTATATAATAACTTAAAAAAAAAGCTTGGGTACTCGTTCTAGTTGTTGCATGTATTAATATTTAATGTATTTGAAAATACTTGGTGTTGAATAGGGCTTATTTTTTTCTTTTCCTAGGTAAATTATTAGTTTGTTTCTTCCTTTCAATTCACCCCTTTTGACATTTCTATACTTTTTAAACTGCCCTTTATTAGACATATTGTAAAGTCAATGATGTATTCATAGAATAGAATAATATGTCAGATCACTTTGAGTGATTTTAGTATTATTTTAATTGATACATAATACTTAAACATATTTATGGGGTACGAAATGTTATTTTGATATATGTATACAATGTGTGTTGATCAAATTAGGATGATTAGTATATCCATCACCACTTTGAGTGATTTCTGTTGTTTTTCTGATTAGACATAAAAACAAAGCTACTATTGTTAATCATCTTTCTAACAACATAATTACAAATTCTATTCTTTTTCTGTTCTTTTAGTATTTTCTGTTTTGGCTTTTCATAATTTCAAATTAGATGGCAGGTTCTTATTTATAGTAATCCTTACAACTATGGTTCCACTTAAAGGGTAATGCTTCTTGCTGAAATGTGTGCTTTAGACTAGTTTTTATTTTGTGAGGGTGCTTTAAACTGTTTCCTAGAGTTTCTCCCAGAATTGTCCTATATATTTCTTAAAAAACTATATTAGACATACTCAGCTATAAATGTTGTAGAAAATCAGCTTTATTAGTTTTAGTTATTTAGAAAAACTGTGTAAGTATTGTTTTTTAAATTCTTTCCAATAACAGACCTTCCCAATATTCCAATCCTGAGAACATTGTTGGAAAATAATTACTGACTAAAATAAATGCATAGTTTGATTATGCTATTTATTATCATTTCTACTAATGATAATAGAAATGATATCATTTCTACTAATGATTTAATACTAAATATTGTAATGATGACATTACCATTCATTCTTTTTTTTTTTTTTTTTTTTGAGACAGAGTCTCACTGTGTTACCC